TTGTCACATTAGGGAGGTTTCGCTCTACGTAATTACGTATGAAAATCCGTATGTCGTACACGCCGGGGAGCGAGGGCAACTTTCATACGTAAATCTCTCTACGGATTTCCGTAGGAAAGCTCTTTCCTACGTTGGGTCCTCCGTAGGACTTTTTGAAATAATTTTCGCTTTTTCCGCATTTTTGTCCATGGCAATATTCAAGCCGCGCGAAACACAAGGTACACACACCGTACACCACGTGCAAAATATAATGGAAAACGCAGTTTCGGTTCATGGTGCATACGGTGGGCGCATGCAGCCAACGCGTCTCCAAAGCAACAACGCATGTTTAACAGTCGTGGAGAAATCACGTAGAGCGAAACCCAACAGCTCTGATTTTTACGTATGAAAATTCCGTGCAGTTCATACGTTATTTTCATACGTAATTCCGTAGAGCGAAACCTCCCTATTGTGTGCAGATTGTAAGGTGTAAGCGACCTCTGTGTTTAGCGACCACCTGCTCTAGACACTTTGGGACCTGGTTTTAAAGACCACCTGGCTTTATCGACCGCTTTTCCTTGCACCGTTGGGTGGTCGCTTAAACAAGGTTTTACTGTCCATGCATAGTACGTACATGTAACGGTACATGCCGGTAAATACTCAATCTCCGTACACGTATACATGTACCTCAGCTGCGGTGTTACAGATGCTGGCTCACCTAGATACAGTACCTTGAATAAAGTAACGCTGTGTCCGCTACAAATATTAGGCACTCTGACCGTCACCCTTTGTGCTAATTTAGGCATACACATGTACAAGTACAATCATGTACTACATGTCTGTTTTGGATTAGCTTAGCAATGACGCAATCTCACATGTTCGAAGTGCCTTCGTGTATTATTATTATTATTATTATTATTTGAAACTCGGATGTTGAGCCATAAATAAATGTAAAATAGTATATAGTATCATGTTACAGTGATGGAGAGTTACTCTAAACTCGTATCCATATATCCTTTTCTATTTTACATTATTATTATTATTATTATTATTATTATTATTATTATTACTCATAAAAAGGACACACTTCAGGCTCATTACAAACATCTTGAAAGTTTTTGTCTTCACAAGTATACTTTCAAGCCTTCTCATCAGGTGAAATACAGGCAAGGGAAAAGGAACAGGAACAGTGGATTAAATACAGTAAGAAGGTGGTAAAACAGCGCAAAAAGAAAGAAAGAAAGAAAGAAGATAGCTAAAGTAAACAGCGAAAATTGCAATAATGACACAAAGGTGCAAATGCGAGAAAACTCAATAAGCGCGACATGTAGTGCGACAACAAGAGACAACCACTGGACATACATGTAACTAACGAGGTTTTGACGACCTACCTAACAGCCTGAGTGTGAATTTGATTTGTTTCTGCTTGCAAAGGTTGGGTTTCCTTGTGTGGATGTATACAGCTTCCAAAACATTCAGCAATCTAGCACTGCGTACACGTGACACAATCGAAAAACAATCATCCGAATACACAGCACGACAATCAGGATGCTCAAACAAATGACTAGCAATGGACGACTCATACTTATCAGAACTAACATCAGAACAATCAGCATGTGCGGTGGACACATCCGATTTCACATGGCTAGTCGAGTGGACCCTAGCCGTTGCCTCTGTCTGTGCTTTAGTCGCTGCCATCGCCGCCGTTGCCGATCTTGTCAATCTTCTGGTTGATGCGGTTCCTGTCACTGCCACGCACGTAGGTGTCTTGTCCGGTTGTTTTTCTGGTGGTCTAGTTAATTGTGAGGTGACGTTGCTTGGTGTTGATGCCGCTGCGTTGGACCATCTTGTACCAGGATGATTCTTTGCTGGACGTCCCCTCCGTGGTCGAGTGGATCGTGCGTGTTGTGGAATAAGGTGTAGCGGTGCGTGTTGTCGGATGCGTGCGTCCAGATGTTGAAGAGTCCTACCTACATATCGGCTCTCACATTGCCGACACTCGAAGTGATAAATCAACTTGGATAATTGGCCTGTAGGTAGGACGTCCTTCCTCACCGTGAACAGACAGAGGCAACGGCTAGGGTCCACTCGACTAGCCATGTGAAATCGGATGTGTCCACCGCACATGCTGATTGTTCTGATGTTAGTTCTGATAAGTATGAGTCGTCCATTGCTAGTCATTTGTTTGAGCATCCTGATTGTCGTGCTGTGTATTCGGATGATTGTTTTTCGATTGTGTCACGTGTACGCAGTGCTAGATTGCTGAATGTTTTGGAAGCTGTATACATCCACACAAGGAAACCCAACCTTTGCAAGCAGAAACAAATCAAATTCACACTCAGGCTGTTAGGTAGGTCGTCAAAACCTCGTTAGTTACATGTATGTCCAGTGGTTGTCTCTTGTTGTCGCACTACATGTCGCGCTTATTGAGTTTTCTCGCATTTGCACCTTTGTGTCATTATTGCAATTTTCGCTGTTTACTTTAGCTATCTTCTTTCTTTCTTTCTTTCTTTTTGCGCTGTTTTACCACCTTCTTACTGTATTTAATCCACTGTTCCTGTTCCTTTTCCCTTGCCTGTATTTCACCTGATGAGAAGGCTTGAAAGTATACTTGTGAAGACAAAAACTTTCAAGATGTTTGTAATGAGCCTGAAGTGTGTCCTTTTTATGAGTATTATCGCATTTTTGTCTCAGAGGAAACTGATTATTATTATTATTATTATTTTATAAATCCCATCTTAGGCTGAATGGCTACATATACTTTAATTGAAGATATCCACTGGTTGAGTGAATGTGAAAGGGAAAAGTCTGAAGAAAGAATTGATTCCACCGCCTGAACCAGGGACCTTCGCTTGAGACCAGCGCTGCTCTCAACACTGAGCAGTGAGCAATGTTGTAGCTGTCATCCCAGCAGAGACCGTTCAACACTTTCTTCAGAGCGATGACCACACTGGAAAGGCGTTTTCTCCCCACACCGGACTATCTTGCTGTTTATTTTATTAAAAAGAGGTTCCTCAACAAAGCAAGTGAACGCTGATCATGGGAGTCTCGTATGTAGCCTGATTACATGGGGAGTCAAGAGGGGAAGACATGAAACAGGGTAAGAAAGGAACTTAGGAAAAAGAAACGAGAAGCTCAATATCATGCGCCAACAGTATATCCTGCCTCCTAAAAACTGTTTATTGAGCAAGGAGTGGTGCATTGCAGGTTTGTCGAGTAGAAGGTTCGATAGACTTCTTGTGTTATCTGGATGGCAGCAGTGAGCCAATCTAGTGAGAATTCAAGTCGGGAGGAAAAGCGCGAGCTTCCACGTAGGAAGCAACACAGAATTCTCCTGCAAACAACTGTGTCCAATATTTTGAATAGTTTTTGTTCGACAAGCATCACCATAAAGATGACAATGTACCCGCTTCACAATGGAGTTTACAAGGCCTCCACTTTTTATAAGGATAATAATCATTTCTTGCACTCAAGCTGTCCGGTGAGCTGATAACTCGTAATCCTGGCATCTATCTAAATCCTTGACAAGATGTTCACGTGAGTCCGCCCGGTTTCACCTCTTGCTCATCTGGTCGCCTGAGTCGACTACCTTGGAATTATCCGTTTGGCTTCCGGAAAATACTCGCTTGGCCTACATTGGAATGATCCAGACCCATTGGACACACTTACCGGTGCACTGCAGGTTCATATACGCACGCACGCACACACCGACACGAACAAACAAACACAATACAAAGGTACATAGTCGCAGGCACCCGAACCCACATACAAGCAAAAACACGGAAGAGAATTCACAAACTGATGTCTAATCGGAGGAGACCCAAGACCAAAATTTGGTTCGCTCCCATAGCATAACGGCATTATCACTTAGCACGTTCCGAAGCATACACAGGCCTTGTTTTAGACGGATTCAGCTACACGCCTGTCTCCGTTTAAAATGTAGTGCAGTATTTGGGCCAGCTTCAGTGCCGGCAATCTAAGGTAGGAGCCTGAACCCCACAGCGAGGTGAGATATGCCACATGTCTGGATACAGTAGGCCAGTCGTCGTAATGGACAACGTACTTGTATGACTATGCTACAAGGGTTGTAGCATCCGGTCAGTATTTACATGTACAGTGGCCAACCACAGTGCACACAATTGTGAACTGAGATCTTGGACGTGTGTACGATGTACGACTAGAGGTGCACGGGATATCGACGGTAGATGCAGTATTATTCTGACAGGCCGCCGGTTGACAGGATCTTGATTTCAGATGCCAAGTTTCTTGTCTCGGTTGTCATTCATTTCCCTTGAACTGGCTCAAGTGTCTGGCGCGTAACACGTGCATTCTCCACCTGTTGCTCATTACTGGAGTGTTTAGCTTCCTTAGCAAGGTGGTGGATGACACTTCGCAACACAGGCCAATATCCATACACCCATCCTGAAAATGCTATCATCGTTTCAAGGTCGAAAAAACAAAAAGAAAACCTGGCCGTGATCCTTTCACTACCGGTACAATCGGTACAATCGTCGAATATTTTTTACAATCATTTCAAGGAGCGCAGTAAGTCCTACTTGCCCGCAAGCCAAATACATTATTCTCAGCAGTATCTCAGGAGCTGAGATGAGTGTTCTCCGCGATCGTTAAACACACATTTTGTATCTTGACAACAGTAAAATAATAATTATCGTCTTGTCTGTCAAGCTAGCTCTATTCGTCCTCATCTCTCCTCCACTCTCCTGAGCAGTTTCTCGAAACAGACACTTACGAATATTGCGATGAAAGCGGGGCAGAGGACTGAAAAGCAAAACTATGCATGTACATGGACGTCTGTACACTTCATGCTTATCATGCAGGAGGCGATTCAAGAACAAATGTGCACTCAATCTATCCAGACTGCACATCACTCATCAGAGGTACAGCAAGTAGAGGGCTCTCCTCCACCCAATCTACAGAATTCGTGTAGGGTTGTACACTCTAATAACGAACCAATTTTAAACCAGTGAATATTTTTATGACTTGGGGCTAATATAGAAAAGTTATCTTCAGCACACGCAGCATGCAAAGGCCTCTTTTACGGGCAAACAGAATACAATTGACAGTGGCACGGCGAATGATTAGAACACAACACCAAAAAATGAAAACAATTGTATGTGTGAAAAAAACGTAAAAAACGAGGAAAAAACAAAAAACAAAACAAAAAAACAACAACAAAAAAAAGGAAAATACAAGGGCAGTGTTCTGCCCACCATCGTCTCCAAAACCCCACAGCCGGCCCTCCGAGATTGCCAACTCTCGCAATGCATTCACAGGACGGTGATATGACGATAGGGCACCGCCGATGCACATGATCGTCGACCGCAACAATGCAAAGAAAAATTATCTTGTGCCCCACTGTTTTCCACATTTCTACTTTGAAAAAGAGGAAATCTAAAAAAGAGAAACGATAATCAATGGATAGTTACTTGAAAGAGAGGCGGAGAGCTAATAACCGAATATTCGAATGAGATATCATTGAGGCAACGATTGTAAGCAGAAGTGCATTCGCTTTATGCAGATTGAATACTCTGTGAAAATATCAGCGATACATCAAGTATACTGGCTCTTGAAGGCGACACGTGCCAGCCACGCACTTGGTTCCCTTCGCCTTTGCATCGTCCGCTGAAAAGAACTTACTTCCGCCAGGAACCGTCCAGAGGTCGAGCCACTGATTCGACTGTCCATGATCATCTGAAATACCATTCTTAGTGTACATATGGAGTCGGGCCAGGGTTTTGAAATTGATACTTGGGTCACGCTTGCCTTTGTTGATCTGAGGAGTGGTCCTGTAAAATCCGTCCACGCTGGCAACTCTGTCACTAGAAGCTGTGTCGCAGCGCAGAAGGTTCTCAAAATTTTCCTTGTTTCCGTCCATCTTGCCAACCCCACGTGTGTAGACGATTCGAGAACCGTCGTCATCGCGGAACCTGCACAGGACAGCACAGTACAATTCGTTTACATGTAATCTGATGAGTGTTTTTGAATACGAAACTCGGAGTCAAGAGAAAGATATCGGTCTCTGTTGTTCTGACTTTTGTACTACAGTTAGTGATTCAGGCCATTCATATCGCGGATTGAATCTTGGATTGCATCATGTACATGTATGTCATCATCCGACCTTGTTTGTACCGCATACAGAAACTAGGGCCAGTAGGGGTGAGTTATCATTATGATGTCTCCTTTTCTTCACTCCTTTCGAAGGCGATAAGCCAGTCCCACCGGAAGATTATTCCATGGGTGGGACAACAAAATGAAAGTTACTTGTTATCATACATGTACATACTTGCAACGGTACGACGTGCGTTTCACCACAGGTAAATGTGGAAGGGTATCCCTGTCCAATAACCATGTTAACAAAGGCCACGGGTTCGAGACCTGATATTCAATTGCCTCTCCACATTTCCTGCCCTGAGTACCACGATCGGCCAGCTTACGAGTGAGTGTGTTGTCGCTAGACACCCTAGCTACACGCGAAAATCTGACCTACCTGAACAAAACTTGCGTGTAGTTGTCCGTGGGAATACAGCCGGCCGCGTCAAAGTCCTGAGCCCTTGCAGCCAACGGATTGAATGCTGGTGATATGTAGTCAAAGTTGTAGGATGCCTTCGTGGCGAACAGCGTCCATCCACCACCCTCCGTTGTCATATCGCAGAACGCCTTGTATTGAGTGTCACTACTAGCCAGTGCAAGCGTGTAAAGGCCGTCACCACGTGAATGCCCTGAAGGAGATGAACATAAATTCATGCATACACAATCCGGTGGTGGCAGTCAATTTGTTCCTCAGACTTTTCCCGCTTGTCTTTTCCCTCAAACCAGTTAACATACACAATCATAATATTATTATTCTCTCTGCTCTGATCTACAATAATATGTCTACAATAATATTAAAATTGACAGCTACACCGGCCACATGCTCCACCGCCAAGTGGTAAGAGCTTCACTGGCCTGAAGCGAAGGTCCCTGGTTCGAGTCCTGGTGGTGACAGTCAATTTTTCAATTTTTCCTTCAGACTTTTTCCCTTTTTAACAACCTGAACTGATGGATTTTACATACACCTAATGTTGCCAATTCCCGATTCTTGCGATTCCAAGATGGGAAGCATTATTTACCATTGGATACAGTAGTCATATACATGTAGATACTGTTTAGTCGGGACATCACGAATTTAGAGCAGCATCATCAGCGTATGTCACTCCTCTCTGTCTCTGGCTTTGCTCCTATACCCGTGAATCTGTCCCTGGCTCTGGCTCTTTAATTTCCTTTCTTCGCTGTCTGCTTCTAGAATTCTCTACACTGCCAACCTTGCGAATAACGACCCTCAAATAATTTTCCTGAGAACTTTGAAAGTGTTGGTATTAATTTTGCGAGTTGTCGTTATTCATGAAGTTGAAAATATATACTCAAGTACTCAAGTGGTCACTACTACACACTATGCCTGAAGATTGCGTCATTATTCGCTTGTTTTACCCCAAGGTCATTATTCACGAGGTGTATTGTTTGACAGATGCTTGAATTTACCAGCACACATGTACATGTACAAAAAATGTTTAAGTCCAGCTATGAGATTCAAAGTGCACAACTGAAACTAGCGCAACTATAAAATGCGAGCGGGACTCGAGACTTGTTTAAAGTAATCCATCAGTATCCATGTGGAGTCTTTGTCCCGTTGTGTGTTTCAGCTATTCTAAGCTGTCTATTGGCTTCTCTCCCTTTTTCCTCTTTCCCTCTCCTTCCCCATACACACACAAACTCTCTCCCCGGGTGTCTCTATCCTCCCCTGCTGTGGCCATGTCTTCATGCACGTTGTTGACTTTATCCAAGTAGCCACTGGAACGTTGGATTCTCATCAACAAACCATCTTACCGTTAAGCCTGACGCCATCACAGCTAGTATCCATGGCTGATTTTTGACCGTGCGGGTTCACCAATCTCCATATCCGTCCATCACAGAACTGAACTCCCGCTTGCAGAAGGCTGTAGCGAACGTTCCCCCGCTGCGAGCTACTGCACTTGTACGTTAGCAGGTTGCCAAGCAGCTAAAAACAAGCAAAGGTGAAGATTGAAGATAGAAGTACTGAAGTGTTTGTTTCCTTGGCGCTATGCTAGCTTAGATACATGCATTATGTAAACGTACCTGTCGGTACATGCCCGTAGTCTAGATACTCAATCTCCGTGTAGGTATACACACCAGCTGCCGTGTTACAGATAACGTTACTGGCTCACCTAGATAACTTGAATAAAATTACGTTATGTCCGCAACAGCGCACTCTGACCGTCACTCTTTGTGCTAATTTAGGCATAATAAATACACATGTACACAATGTACGTGTACATGTCATGTACTTCATGTCCGTTTGGAATGGGATTAGACAAGTCACTGCGGGATCTGAAGACGCAATCTCATATGTTCGAAGCGTGTTATCATCAACGCCATCTTAGGCTAAATGGCTACATGTATTTTTAAAAGGTATTCACTAGCTGAGGGAATGGAAAAGGGAAAAGTCTGAAGAAAACAATGACTTTCACCACCTAGACTCGAACCAGGGACCTTCGCTTGAGGCCAGCGATGCTCTAACCGCTGAGCTATGGTGTAGCTGTCATCCCAGCAGTGACCGTTAAACACCTTCTTCAGACAATTTAATATAATTTATGTTTTATTGTTGCTGTTTGTTGTTGTTTATTTCTCTCAAAGTTGTGCTGACTTCGGCGATGATCACAAAGGAAAGGCGTTTGCTCCCCACGCCGGACTATCTGGTTGTTTATTTTATTAAAAAGAGGATCCTCAACAAAGCAAATGAACGCTGATCATGGGAGTCTCGTATGTAGCCTGATTACATGGGGAGGCAAGAGGGGAAGACATGAAACAGGGTACGAAAGGAATGTAGGAAGAAGAAACGAGAATTGCTAAATATCATGCGCCAGCAGTTTATCATGCCTGCTTACAACTGTGTATTGTGCAGGGAGTGTTGCCTTCTTGCAGGTTTGATGGGTGGGAGATTCGATAAACTCCTTGTGTTATCCGGATGGCAGTCGTGAGTCAGTCAAGTGAGAATTCAAGTCGGCAGGACAGGAAAAGCGCGCTTCCACGTAGGGAACAACACAGAATTCTCCTGCTAACAACTGTGGCCAATATTTTGAAAAGGTTTTGTTCGACACGCATCACCATACAAATGACAATGCCCCCGCTTCACAATGGAGTTTACAAGGCCTCCACTTTTTATAAGGATATTGGTCATTTCTTGCACTCCTGTTGTCTGATGAGCTGATAACTCGTAATCCTGGCATCTATCGAAATCCTTGACAAGATGTCAAGACATTCACGCGAGTCCGCCGAGGTTTCATCTCTTGCTCATCTGGTGACCTGAGTGGACCACCTTGGAATTATCCGTTTGGCTTCCGGAAAATACTCGCTTGGCCTACATTGGAATGATCCAGACCACACTTACCGGTGCACTGTAGAGTCATACACGCACGCACGCACGCACACACCGGCACGAACAAACAAACACATGCAAAGGTACACATTCGCAGGCACCCGAACCCACATACAAGCAAAAACACGGAAGAGAATTCACAAACTGATGCCTAATCAGAGGAGACCCAAGACCAAAATTTGGTTCGTTCAGTGTCTTCGGACTGGGATCCAGAAAGAGTTTAATACGTGAGTACAAAACGATTTAGTACTATAGTGTGCTACGAGAATCATCAGGGTTTCAGATATACATGTACAGTGTAATCCCACAGCATTACATCATCTATGAGGTTCAAAACAGAATCCACTCGGAAGGTTTTCACGACGATTATAATATTGTGCACCGCAGTTTGTGGGAAAGAAAACACGAACTACCCTAATAGCCATATATACATGTACGTGCATATAGCCCATACTATCACGCATCAGAGCAATCCACTGTCAAGTGTCAGTGAAGAACACACAGGTTCGAAACTGCTGCCGGTCGACATGGATGGGTCTTCGAAATACATGACAACCTTAGTATAGTGCCAGATCCGATACATGTATCATATCATTGGATGGATGGCCTTCAAGACTTAGACACAATACCAATCGAAAATACAACTTACCTGTTAGCCTCTTGTAAAGCAAACGCAGCGAGGAGACATGCTATCATCAAGGAGACATTTGCCATCATTGACGCAAACCCCGTAGCGAAATAGACCTTCTTCTTGAATCCCCTGTGTTCCTTCTTGTCCGTCGATCGTTCTTCTCCGTAGTGTGCTTGTGAATTTTGAGCCAATGATTCTTATACTTCGTAATGTACGAGGAAGATATCACTGAGCACGTTCCGAAGCATACAAGCATATGTTTTAGACAGATTCAGCTCCAGGCGTGTCTCCGTTTAGTGCACTGAGCAAGTATTTGGGCCAGATACAGTACCAGCAATCTGAGGTAGGAGCCTGAACCCCACAGCGAGGTGAGACATGCCACATGTCTCGATACAGTAGGCCAGTCGTCGTAACGCCCAACGTACTTGTATAATAGGCTATGCTACAAGGGTTTTAGAATGCGATCAGTATTTACATGTACAGTGGCCAACCACAGTGCACACAATTGTGAACTGAGATCTTGGACGTGTGTACGATGTACGACTAGAGGTGCACGGAATATCGACAGCAGACAGTAGTTTTCTGACAGGCGGCGCCTTGACACAATCTTGATTTCAGATGCCAAGTTGCCTGGGCTTGTCTTACTCTTAGTTGTCATTAATTTCCCTTGAACTGGCTCAAGTGTCTCATTTGCAACACGTGCATTCTCCACCTGTTGCTCTTTAGAATTCACCCCTCATCAGTTGAGCTTGAGTAGGCTGAGGAAGATTGTGCCTGTAGAGCGCCACTTATATAGTGCTCTCCAGGCACAAACATCTCCAGGGACACAAACTTACAGAGACGCTCCGTTTCCAGCGCGACAAACACCTCGTGAACACCAGATGGCAGCGTGAGTCAGTGTCGCGCATGGTGGTGCTGAACAAACGCTGAGGACTGTTGGCCATGATTCACAACTTTGTTGCCTGCATAGCCGCGGCTTACCATCTAATTCGCAAGCCCGCGCCAGGGACAATGTGAAGAAGAGGTTGGTGCGACTTCGGTGATACTTGGGAATTGTGTGTTGCTCCCTACGTGGTATCGCTGAAGTGTTGAGGCAACGAACCGAAATAATAAAACAAAAAAAACCCAAGTCGCACCAACCTCTACTTCACATTGTTGCTCTTTAGCTTCCTTTTACCAAGGTGGTGGATGACACTTCTCATGCAGTTACAGCGAAAACGTTACAAATTACAGTAGAACACACTTTAGAAGTATATGTAGTTAGTACGTAATGAAATTCGGACTGATTCAAGCTGGCCTCACCGGCTTCAGCGACGTCATGACCTACACGAGCGGTGTCTACAAGTGCACGGCCGGATTTGCTGGGGGTGGTACTCAAAGCTTTATTCGGGAAAACCTCAAAATGTGATGCAAAATGTCAAAACGCAAGGGAATAAAATAAATACTAAACATCCAGTATAAAAAGTAAAAAGGACCAAGGAACTACAAGTTACACTATAATGTCCACTAACACCACCATCAAAGAGGTTTCTTATCTCGGCATCGCTTGGCAGGCGTCTTTGGCGACATAGCATCGTCAGCTCAGTATCTGCTCTAGGATTGTAGGACAGCCGGGTACACGTGTATCTGGCGCAACCATTTCAACCGGGTGGGACCCGGGTACCCAATGTACCTGGCGCTGTCTCACCAGTACCAGCCGAGTCACATGCTTTTTAACTGGTTGGTTGGTTTATTTTAATTCGGACAATAAACGGGAACTAGGCCCAATGATTATAAAGGCGAATGGATAGGCCGCATTTAGAAAAGAGAAAGGAAAAAGACATTATGGATACAAGTTAAGAGTAACTCTCCATCACTGTAACATGATACTTTCTACAGTCAGAAAGTGCAATAACCAGGCACAAAACTGACAGAGTACTGAGACATTCGACGTCCTGACACCTAGCCTCAACACATCTCCGTACTCTGTCAGTTTTGTGCCTAGTTATTGAACTTTCTGACTGTATAAAGTATCATGTTACAGTGATGCACCTTTACTCTTAACCCTTTACTGTCCGATTAAAATGTATACAAGCCCACGCAACCACAAAATCTGAAACTAAAATTAGACGTAACTAATCAGTGTCTGCTCCAGCCCCGGGTGAGCCGGGTAATCCACCCGGTTGGGCGGCGCTAGGACCCGGTTGAAAATATAGTACTGGGTCACCTGTGACCCGGTTGGTACTTTACACTTTCGAACTTTGAAAGGACTGACTACATGTCCATGGCTTGTATGTGTCAGATACTTCTTCTTCTTTCGTAGTTTTCTAATTCCTGGCCTCTCTTTTCTAACTCGGATGGTGAGCCATAAATAAATGTAGAAAGGAAAAAGACATTATGGATACGAGTTAAAGGGGAAGTGCATCGATTTTTCAAGTAGGGCTCAGATGAAAGACAGTTGGATATCGGTTCCGATGGTATATCTCTCGCTTGCGTAGATCTACGGCAAGGGAAACTTGCCATATCCTGTCCCCGGGGAAAATTGCGGAAAAAAATCGCAAAAAACACTGGGAAAAACGCGGCATAATATGGCATAATTTGCGGTGAATTTGCGGTAAATATGCGGTAAATATGCGGTGAATAATATTGATGTGCGGCAATTTTCAGTGAGTATGTAGTCAAATCAATCAGTTACAAGTCTCTGGTGTAAGCACTCGTCATATTTGAGTAAAAAGCCGCCACGATGAGACGTTGCTGACCGAACAGTGCACTGTGTGTACGTGTAGTGTAACAAAAAAGTTCAAAAAACGCGGGAAAATCGCGGAAAACGCGGTCTTTTAAAAAACGCAAAAAACGCGGAAAAAAACGCGGCCGCGGAATTGCAATTTTCCCCGGGGACAGCATATCGCCGATTTCCTGATCCCGTTTCCATGGCGACTACAGGTGATGACGCACATTCTGCTTAGCTCCGTGAGAGAGAAGGTCGATCACTGAAGAATTGTGTCATTTTCAGTTGTCTTCTTGTATTCACGAAGTGAAAGAAGTACTGTGTTCAAGGCTGTTAGTGCCGTGAACTGTTTATTAGTAGTCCTCTCCGTTGTGTACTGGGACGTGACA